TCCACCATTTCCGTTCTTTTCCACCACCATCAGCTGACCTACTTATTTTCAACTTTTCAAAATCTCTTTGACCCCCAATTTCTTATCTACTTGAGCTTTATTTGGGTCCATACTGCCTAGTTGCCATATGGTTCTATCTTCACCCAGGCCACTTTGTCTTATAAGGGCCGGTGAGCACCGATATAACGATTCTGTGACCTTCCCAAAATTAGCGGAAATCGAGTGCATGGCGCAATACTGATTTTCTCCAATACAGTGCATCGTTATGTGTGCCGCCTCCCTTTCCCCCATTAGCCCCACCCCCTCCCTCTTGCCTCCAACTTCCACCCATTCCCCTATTTTCCCCTTATTTGAATGATCGTAATGAGGAGAAAGCACAAGGCGCTTTGATCACATCACATGAACACAATCCATTGTTCACATCGAAATAGATAAGCTTTTATTGCAAATTATTAAAATAACTAATTGAATAGCAAGTCTGATACATTTGTTGTCATATTTTGATCCAGGTATTGCGATTACATCCACTCCCACCCCTTCACAGATCGTCTTTCAGAAGGGTTCCTTCTGGGGAACCTATAATAGAAAGGTTCCGGTTCGGGATACGTTTCCACGACTTCTTGACTGCCTGAAGGTCCAGCTTGCTCTTTTGAACCGACTCGTTCTTGCGAAAGTTTTTCTTGCGAAAGTCGTTCTTGCGAAAGTCGTTCTTGCAAAAGACCAGGGTTTACTCCTTCCCTTGACGGTTGTGGTGACCGCGGCGATTGGCTTTCCGGAACCGGAGGGTTAAGGTGTGCTCTTCGCTTATTACGCACGTATCGTATCAAAAACAGCTGAGCAATCATTATCAGAGAAATAGCTCCCAACAGAAAGAACAGCTTCATGTAGGTGTGCATCCTGAAAATGTGATGTTGAGAAAGGAGAAAAGCTCCCAAAACAATTGGAAATAGGAAGGGACAGCAGCATATTCGCCTAATCTTATAAACTGGGTCAGTCTATCAGATCCTTGCCAGCTTATCAACTTCCAGTCAGTTATAGCTCGCAGGCATTTGACCCTCACTCCAAAGCGTAATAGTGTGTGAGCGGGCGTTTGACTTGAGAGCTGGACGTTCCCGAATAGGCATTGGTAATCCGGGGTGCGCTTCGTTACGCGCGTCCGTCGAAACTAGGTCATGCCGCAGCCGTCGCATGCGGCGGGTCAGCCCGCGATGTTTGACAAACGTCGCAGTTGTCAGCGGAGCATACGAATTGCACTTGGTCAACGGCAGTGTGCCAAAGAGAAGATAACACAGACAAATGCAAATCATTCGCTCCACTGACACTTGGTGGTACTGTAGTGTCAGCTCGAGACCTCAGTGTGGTGCGCTGCGCGCGAAGTGGGCGGGGTGACCTACTTTCGAAGGACGCGCGCAACGGACGTTTTCCGGTAAACCTTCATGTTTTGGCCTATCAGAGACCAATGAGAAGCTTTCGTGATGGGAAGGGGAAATCGGACCAGAAGTACCCCCGATATGGTGGCCGGCTTATTTATGGAAGGATGTGGTACAGATGCCTATACGTCAGGGGTGTAGAATACTCCTGGAGGTTCTTTACATAAAAGATAAATTCTTTTGGTGCTATTTAATCCCGTTCTGCACCACCGCATCCAACTTGCATACAAAATCCTGGTAGCGTTTCAAACGCGTATGTGGCCTTGACAGTGATTTGCTCGAAGGCTTAGAAATCCTACTGTCGCTCATTTTTGTTGATATCAAAAATTTCACATTTGTGAAGGGTGCAAGGTGGTTGAACTGCAAACGCTATCTTTCTATTCCGCAATAGTAGGGCCAAAGAGAGAAATGGAATGTAGTGTTTTTCCTAATCCAGCCAGAAGAAATCGACTTACAGTAGGCTTTTCAACATCGCATCTAAGTTGTCTGCTCCCTAAAAGAATCATAAAATAGTTAGGTCGAAACTTTAGTCAAAAGACAGCAAAAGCAATGAGGGCATCATGGATTTTTTAAGGCCCAGAAACCTTTCTTGTGTTTAGGATCCCCACACCCCAATATGAGCATCCCGAATGATGAATTCCGCCTTGTCGTTAGGGTGATATTGTTATAAAGGTAAGTACTGCTTGATCAGAGGCCATAGCTAGCGACCATATCCGCGACAAATGTCACACAGACTATTATGCCGCGCGCGGAAAGTCCGCGCCCTCACGAGTCAAAGGTTATTCACGATTTGATAGGTGTGATGCTCTCATGGGCATCCCACACGAACGCTCCCATTGACCATGTAAACCACTATGCTTTACGATAATATTCCACGGTTAACGGCCCTAAGCTTCTCCCATATCGTGAAAAGCTCGGAATCAGTCTCCGAAAGACTGGTTGTCTCCCGGGGCCCATACCATAGCACCGAGGTTTCTAGGTTATGGTGATTCTCCAGCAACATCACTTATAAGGAGACTTAGCTTCACTTCAACCTTTATCTGTAACTCACCTCATCAGATGCAGAAGTGATGTTGGACAACGTTGTAGTCTCTGTAGTTAACTCTTCTGAAATTGGGCATAGCTTAGCTGTCTTAACTGGCCCGAATCGTCATGCCTTTTATTAAAATCATAGAATATTTTACTGCTAGTGTTTCCTTTCCTAACATCACACCCAGTTCAGTGCAGTCAATAAACACCGAAGGGGCGATTCGAATAGGTATGTACCCTACACAATGATTTGCGGTAGTCGACCCATGCACAGGTCCGTGCTTTTACCTCCTTGGGCAGCCTGTCACCAACTAACTGACTCTGGAGAGATGGAGGCCAGGTTGGACCGAGCGAATATCTGCGCAGAATTCGTACACTGGACCTTGGGTGGGTGATAGTGAGCCGTTTGTCACTGCACCACCTTCTCTACATTAACAGGAATGCAAATAATGCATTTACACAGTTATCACAGGTCGAAGTCACAGAGATGTATGGGTGCCGATTTTCAACGAAAGTACATTTCGTAGTATTCAAGACACGTCTACCTGTACTGCCTTCACTGTAAGAGGGTTCGGTGGGTGAAGAAGGTTGAGAGCTCTCTGCAGGAGATCGATCCATGACTATCGTTTGCTCGCTGGGAACCGATTTGGAACGCGTAATATACTCAGTGCTTCCCGTCGTGAATCGTTGTTCCGTAGGTGTTGCTTGTGATGAAGTTTCACCGCGCGTTGATTCAGTACGTGGAGTGTGTTGGACCGCCGTGGATGACGATTCGGTGGTAGTAGGAGAGGTCTTGGTGGGTGACAAGGAAACAGAGCTTGTCGTAGTGAGAGGCCGATCTGTGACTGTTGTTTGTTGTATGGGAACGGTTTCAGAGCTTGAAGTATGTTCAGACTCCTTCGTAGTGGATGCAGGGAAGGACTCGGTTGTTTTGAACAGCTCTTTTGTCGTTGAAGGTTGGTCGGTGGTTGTTGTTCCTGATGCAACCTCAGTACGCTGACTATGACTGGTTGTACTGGTTTCTGACACATGTTCGACTGTTGTGACTGTTGTTGTTGTAGTGGTGGTAGAACTAAGATCAGATTGAGTGGTGTCAGGGACAGTAGATGGAGAAGTTGTAACCATCTCAGTAGTGGTCGTGCTGGTAAGAAGAACCTCGGGGCTCGAGGTGGTAGTAGATGCAGTGCTAGGGGGAGGGCTGGAAGCTGTTGTGGTAGTAGAGGTAGCAGTCGTCAAATCGGAGGCTTCTTCAGTAGTTACAACAGTTGTGGTAGTAGATGAAGCAGTGGTGGATGTCAGCTCGGAGACTTCTGCAGTAGTTAGAACAGCTGTGGTGTCATCGTTAGAATTGTTCGTAGCTTTCGAATCATCAGCATCTCTTTTCACTTTTGTTCTTCTTCCTTCAATCCATGACGTAAGAATTCCAGTCAAACACCTTCTTCGTTTCCGCGACAAATGGCCGTTCAAAATTGTTGCAGACATCGCATCCTGGAAAGAGAAGGTTTTTATGCGCAGCAGTAGGTAATCCTCACTATTTGGAGGAGTTCTCGGTTTGCACCCTCTGTGAAAGGAAATCGGAGGAAGCACATCAGATGAACAGAGGGCGACTTATTGTTAGTAGTAAGGTTGGCGCATAAGTCTTTGTACTTTTTGGTTTCTATGTTGTGAAAGGTTTGGTGATTGTTCTATCACCTTCACTGCGGAATATGTATAAGTGCTAGTCAATGCGCTCTTCATACCATCCGCCGTAGCATTTCACTACGATAAGGCTGCAAGAATCGCTCTCGACTCAAAGCAAGTTAAACCGTTTCTGATTTATAATTCATAAAGGATAAAGGATAAATTTTCTGGCGTCAATCAATCCCGTCTGAGGGATGCGCCCCCGCACTCGACTTCCATTCAGAATCGTAGTGGCGTAATGAGNGCGTATGTGGCCTATACAATGACTTGCGGTGGCCAGCCGATGTACAAGTCAGTGCTTTTATCCTCCCAGACGAGTCTGGTACCAATTCACCGACCCCGGAGGGATGGAAGGCTTGGTTGGCCTAGGCGGGCATCGATCCGGGATCCGAACCCCTGACCGTGCGTGTGATATAGTGCGCCACTTGTCACTACACCACTTCCGCCCATTTATAATTCATAAAAGACGTTAATCCAAATCGAGCGACAGGGGAAATATGCAATGCGATGAAACCCCTAAACAGGCGAAAAATTGACACCACAAGCTGACCGAAGATCCACGATCAGGGAGACCAGTTGAGCTGAATGACGACTTCCCACTAAGGCTGGTTGAAGAGGATTCCAGACGTAGTACCCGCGAGCTGGCACAGAAGCTTAATAGCCATCACAAGACAGTAACTGCCCAATTGCATCGCCTCGGAAAGGCATGAAGATACGGAGTATGGTAACCTGATCAGCTGTGTGGTTAAGTGGAGAATGTACAAAGACTTGTGCGCCAACCTAGTACATGCTCACTACTACGACTATGTACTCGCATCTCACACTGGGGTGGACTGGAGAGGAGCCCCCAGGCGGAAGCACCTCTTAGCTTCAGCGCTCTCCTCGCTTTGCACATCTCATTCCACACCTTCCATAATTTGCGAAGACTCGGTATGATATACAGTCACCTCTACGCTCTCCGTCATTCCTTCTGTGCAGTTTCGTGCACAATGGCAAGTGATCGTCTCAGGCGACATTTCACACAGTTCCTGGAAGGGTAATTTTCCTCGAAAACTTTATTCACATTTTCAAAAATGAAGATATCCGCTATCTACAGACCCAGCACAGACAGCGGATAATGATAACGACTCTATCGAATATGGGATGAATTTGCATCCAGATTAGAAACGTGGTGAAATTTTGGCACTACCTCTGATGCATTCGAAAAACCAAAAGCTGATGACATGACTACGCAGTCTCCCAATAAAGATATTTCGAAATAAATATTGATACAGTAGGTGTGAGGTATGCTCTTTTGTACCTGAAAACGCCACAATCATCTACAGTAATCTACAATACAGTTTAACAGAGCTCCTTACCAAGGCTCGATGCTCGTCTTCATCTGTATTACATTTTCCACATCTGGACAAATTGATGACGCCAACAGAGAGCAGCAATAAAGTAAGCAGAAGCTTCATGGTTTCTTGAAGTTGAGAAACATCATACTGATCCAATAACCNAAACGCCACAATCATCTACAGTAATCTACAGTACAACTGAACAGAGTTTCTTACCAAGGCTCGATGCTCATCTTCATCTGTATTGCATTTTCCACATCTGGACAATTTGATGACGCTAACAGAGAGCAGCGATAGAGTAAGCAGAAGCTTCATGGTTTCTTGAAGTAGAGAAACATCATACTGATCCAATAACCATTTTCTTCGCTTTTATACATATTTATTATCACAATATCTATGTACACAACATTCGAAATAACTCATAGAGCTCATCCTTCCTTTCAGTCTCAGCTGCACCAGTGTCAGGGTACGTTCAAATAAATACCCACGAGATGATTACAGTAATTGCCGCAAAATCACTGCCGGGTGCGTGCCTGAAGCTGCGACGTGAGCCGTGTTTGAATCTCGCGCCATAGGCTGCTTTCATAGTCCGCGATTTGGCCCGCGAGCGTGTGAGCGAGCGAGCGACGGGGAACTACTTGTCCGTCATTATCAATTGAGGACCATGAAAGCAGCCATATTGTTCGAGCAGAGCACCCAATATATAATGTTTTAGGAAGCAATACTCCGACTTATGCTCTTCTCCCTCGATATTCTCGACTTCTGCCGAACTTTTGTCGGTTCCTGGTCAATAACAAATCGGAGGCTTCCCAAACCGCTGCCGGATCTCGACTGGTCTTCGCGCTAGCTTTCCCTTGTTGATGTACTGAGAAAAAATTCAGTACCACTCGGCTCTTACACTACTTCACTTAGCATAACTCGCAAATCTCCACCCGTCACATATACGACGCGTTAAAAAGGGGCCTCGGGCAAAGGACACGGGGTTTGTGGTGTCAAGATAGGGGTTACTGCCTAGGCCCCGTACTGAATTTTCATTTCTGTTATTGATGTAACCTCCAACCACTTAGCAATCCACCTTGTTCATAATGTGTGTGTGCCAACTTGAAGGATCAACTTGGACCTTCTCTATTTGCTTTATTCGCCTTTTCACTATAAGGTTTGGCTCATAATCTATCCAAGCCAAGACACCCACTTCTCATTTACCCACATAATCTGGTTATCGTAGTTTTCTCGAACTCGCAACTAAAGTAGTTTACTTGCGATCAGAACTTGTTCAGCCATCCTCAGCTTTTTTTGTTAATCACCATTTTTGTTCCGAATGTTCCATGTTGTTTAGATGTTTTGGGATATTTGTGTATCGATGCTTTGAACGTAGTTTACCTACTTGTAGTTAGTGTATATTGTAGTTCATGGGTGAAAGATGAATCCCAACAGGCATTCCCGTTTGTTGCTCATAGATCACGGTTGATTACTCGTCATAAAACTCTTCGTTTCATCATTTCCTCCATCAGTTCCCCGTTATATACATTGACTCATCCAACCCCCTCCGATAATTGGTCCTCCCGGTTGTTCATCTACGTTGAGCCCACTCAACCTTCCCTCTCAAGCACTATGAATCTCACATTCTGCACACATTCAACCACCGATGCGCACCTTCTCGACCATGGCCCTTGTCATTATGTAGGGCTACTCTCATATTCAGTTTCCAGCATGGCACGAATTGATAATAATGAAATAAAGCGTTCAGTCAATTTTTAGCATGCTGATATCATAAAATTTTCTCTAATTTTTCGTCTGATAAGATAAAAGCACTGACTTGTACATTGGCTGGCCACCGCAAGTCATTTTGACCGCATACGCACTCATTACGCCACTACGATTCTGAATGGAAGTCGAATGCGGGGACGCATCCCTCAGACGAGATTGATTAACGCCAAAAAGCTTATCCTCTACCTTCATCCTCACCACCCTTTTGGCGTCTTGACCCTTCTGCCACTTAAGCACAATTGAATGCGAGCTATTTGTCGTGCAGTAGGCTTTCGGAGGCGGGAGCTTTACCAGTGGGCGGAGTACGTAATGAAACAATATTCTTTTTATTCCACATCAAATCAGTTGGTATATGTCTGTGATATAATTACGCCTACTCATTGTTTAGGAAGTGGCACTCTGGGCTTTTGCAGTGAACTCACAGGCCATTCGGAAACAGCTCTACCTGCAGGGAAGAATGGGCCTTCAAAACTGACCTTCTAATTATCAAACACATTTGTCGACTGCAAGACAGTCACAATGATTTATTGTATACAGGCGGATAAGTGAAATGTGGCTTGAGACCTCCCGCTCGTACTTGAAAACACATCCTCATTGAAATGACAGTAAAGCATTCTACTGAAATGGCTGCCCAACTTCATTGGAGAGCGACAGTGAGTTCGTTGAAGACTCTCGGTGGTAGCAACTGCATCTGGCTGGCGACGAGGGCGTTGATTTCTTTTCTTGTCAGTGATTCATTCATGATGATTCCTAAATCAAAAGGGTCAAAAATCAAGAGATATACGGAACAGGCAGAGGCACAGTGGTCTCGTTTCTACCGCAATGTTGACATTGAGAAGTACATCTAATGCGTGAGCCTAGCTTTCGAACTATGAACTACGGTGCCACTATTTGTGAATCAAAAGGAAAATGAAGGTTCTGCAACTCAACAGAACTACGGTAACGTGGAGCGGATCTACTGCCTCCCCTCCCGACGATCGAAGAAGGCTTGCTGTAAGACTTGCTTTAGGTTTTTCTCAGAATCATATCCCTTCAGGAACTTTGGGAACGTTGCAAAAGTCTTCGAGTAGGACCGTTCTGGAGCCTGTGCGGTTTCCAAGAGCCTGCTCTGATTTGAGTGGAGAGTGCATTAATCAAGGTTTTCGAACGTAAAGATTAGCTGCTCTAGAGTAGCCCCTCTCCGGAGCTACTGTTACGTGATACTGTTTTGAAAGGTCGGCCGCTCCATGATTCAATAAACATGGCAATGAAAAAAAAANAAAAAAAAACAGACTCGATATTGACCTCGAATGACCTTATCTGCTTCCTGAGCAGCTTGTGATAACGTGCCGACAGCTTTGTCCATACGAGCAGCCTCTGCAGCCTTAGCGGCATCTTCGGTAGCTACATGCCGAATATAGGCGTCCTACAAATTGCATTGAAATCAAAAGCGTCTTAACAGATGGGTCTAAAGTGGGGGCTACTGAGTGTAGGAGTGGGAGAGTGTCCTATGTGTGAACATGTATGTGTGTTGATATTAAGGAATTCCTTTGAATTGAACGAAGAAAATCTCTTCGCTGGGCTCAAGCTTGTAGGGAAAAAAGGCGTTTGGCTTAATGATAGATAGTAACTGAAACAACTGTCATTTACTGAGAGCAGCCGGAGCTTCAGCCAACATTTTCATCAAACCGACATTTGAAAAACACAAGGTCGGCACTAGAGGGCGTTACATTTTATGAGGCGAAGAGTTAGGGTAAGATAAGGCAGCTGGGAACGGTGTTAGGGGGCGTAAAAGGCTAGAACTGTCCCTGGTTCATTGCTTTGCTTATTACAATGGAGTACGTCACTGATATTCAGTCAGGGGAGACATGTACGGAGCAGTACTAGGATACAATGGCGATGGAAAGTGATGACACAAAAAATGAAAAAGCTGGAAGGAAGCGTTGAAAGAAAAGTGCCACTTTTCCAGAGTTTTTTCTTTGAAAATAGATTACTTACGCTAGGGAGTTATATTGGGGACGAGAATATAGTCAGAGAGTGATCACGTGTGATAGCAATTGATAAGTTCTGATAAGGCATTGTTGCCGATGCCCCAACCTGTCACTTTGCACTACTAAGGTGAAACCATCGGCCAGTGTAAAGGCAAAAAGACAGGGACAGTGGCGAAATATGACCGAAATGATTAAATTTCTTGGTTGTTATAACGACTGACACGTTATATTAATATGTCTGATTACAATTAATATTGCTACAACCTTTACTTCAAGACATGGATCACGATTGTAAAGCTAGAGGCTAGTTGGAAATTCACACTTTTATATCATTCGAAATCAGCCGTACAGAAATCTATGCGACCGCTTTCTAACTCGATTTTTTGATAAATGGTGAAGATCGATTCGATTCGGTAACATTGGTAGTACAACAAGGACCGACTATCGCAAGTACAGTAGGTACTACTTGGCAACAACATCACCCATTACCATTCCAGGGCCGTCTGCAATGCGAAGGGGTGTATGGACAACAGCTGAACTGGTTACTTACAAGTATAGCGGCTCACCAGTTCAAAGTAAGTTTCATGTGGATTGACCACCCGGATAGGAGCAAGGGTTTCACTAGCCATGAAATGGCGCACCATTACACGTTCTGCGCTGGTACTGGACCAGGGCACCTACTTGCAACCTTTACTGCCCTGAAATGGTAATGAGTGATGAGTTGTCAAGTAATAGAATCGAATAGATCAACTGAGTATCATTGTAAACTGTTTGTAACTAGGTGTCCTCCCAGTAACAGCGCTGAATGCATATCAGTGCACCACTCCCTAGTCTTACGTGAAAACATCTGCGGCCTAATGCCTCCCCTCCCCCACCCCAGCCCTTCGCACCCACCTCCCCTTCACCACCTTCGTCCCCTCTGGAAAGCTCCCGGATCCGATTTGTGGAGCAGTGATCCGCTTTGGTTGGCACCCGACGCGAGACCGAAGAACCGAAAAGATTTCCTACAACCTTGCCCTGTGCACCACAAATAGCACTGCTCAGTACATTGGATTACCTTCAAACTCAAAGTAATGACTGTGAGGAATTCTATAGACCCAGGAATAATGACTCACAAGAACGGGCCCACCGATCTTCGTTGCCCATGCGTCTTGAGCTTTTCTCAACGTTCCTACTGGCACATTCATATTACTTTCCAACTCTGAAATGAAAAATATTTTTTTCCGGATCTTTTTGACGCTACTATACTAATTCTACAGTACGTCCAGAAAGTAATGTCGTTA